AAACGGAAAAACATGCCTTAAAGTCTTTTGTTTGTCAGTTTTCTACATGCTGCATGCTCTGAAAGTCATTGGGTTTGAAAGTCAGTTTCATGACCAGTGTTTTAGATTCTAACTGCCAATTTACTAAAAGGGGAAGTATTTAAAAAAAAATCCTGCTTAGTGAATTGACAAATTGAGACAGTCTACAGCTGTCATGAGAGTCGTCTTTAAGCATTATGAAAGCATAATATATCACTGCCTGGTTGTAAAATAAAAACCTTTAGTTTTAATCCAAAATGTTTTTTTCCTGGCAAAATAGTTACCTCATCAATAAACAAGATGCATTTTTTTCTCCCCTTAAACAAAGCACATTATTTTCTATCCTTGCCTTTGTGCTGGAAGGAAATCACCATAACTCATTGTAACAGCATTTGTGTTGCATAATACAGCTAAAGGGGAAATTCTCTCCTTAATTACAAAGACACTCCGTACAGATTCTCAAAAGGTTTTACAATTGTGTTTTTAGTATTTTCAAGAATAAGAAAAATAATAATATAATGTGAAGAGAAGCATGTTATGTGTGAAAAAGGTGCTTTGTGGGTAGAAGGATCCAAGCCAGTTAGCCAGGAGGCAGCTAGCCTGCCAACAGTTTCTAGTTTCGAAAAAAATCTGCAACCCACCAAGGTAGAGTTAGCTAGTAGTCACTAATTTCATGATATTTTGCTATGATCAAGATATATGAAGAAAATAAAAAAGTATTACATGTTTAATATAAAATTATTTGAGACTTCTCTGAAGATTTGGAGGTATGTGAGCCCGTTTTAAGGTTGCCATGGTAACTGGGGACTCAAATGCAGTTTTAAAACTGCAATTGCTATAAAACAGCAGTCTTTGCAATAAACATCAGGTGAGAAACTTTATGTGTTCTTCTTAAACAAAACCAAACCTTTAAGATTAAAGTCTATTAAAAGCTTAAAGGCTATTCTGTAGTTAAATATAAGACTTAACATTAACTTCAAGATGTGCACCTGAACGCAGTCTCAGTTGGTAATCACATCAAAGATTAGTTTTGCTCTATGAGGGAATATTCTTCTAATGAGTATCGTACAGCAACAAAAAAGGCAGAAAGGATAAACACGGTCTGTGACAAAAAGGCCAAGCAGTTAACAAGCACTGTGACATTCTGGATGCAATCCACAAAGTGGCTCGTTATATCGATGGATCTCTACTGCATTCCCAAAATGGCTGCCAAATATGTTCAACTGTGGTAGACAAAGTGCCAGGATGGACTCAAATGCATATTATTAAAAGTCTCTTGACATACTATGGTAAAATACGCGACTTGGAATAATAAAAAAACAACATTAATTTTACCTAATCAGTAAAGGTTCACTAGTTCTGCGTGTATTTATATTTTATCTTTATATTGCCAGCGCATGCTTAAATTTGCAACCAAATTTACACTTGCTAACTTTAAAATATATGTTATGATAAAATTCAATTTTATTTAACTATATGCATAGAAAAAATAAACAACACTGCATGATTCAGTAGACTGAGGTGAATTCTACTCATGATCATTATCACATGTTCTCTCTTGTCCTTTCCACTATACTGTCCAATAAACCATTAAGCCTTAGAATCTTTTTTAGGAGAGTTGTATTGCAACAACATCGTGAACATGCGTTTACAACCAGGCCATCCTCACCGGGCTGTTACCAGGATTTCCTGGTAACAGCCTGGTGAAGATGGCTGGATGATGTGGGAATAACAACAACCAGAAATGTGGCATTGCGGAGGCTTCAGAGAGAGGTCTCTATCTTGTGTATTTGGGCAACAGTGCTTTTACTGCGCTTAAAATTATTTGGAATACTGACCTGCCATCTGTGTGCATGAAGTGTACAAGACGATTGTTTTTTTTTTTTTCTTTTTTGTTTTTTTTTTTGTTCTATGTCTCTTCCAAAGAAGCAATCATTGCATTAGTGCAGCATGGTATCCTTACACATTTTCACTCAAGAAAACCCAAATGATCAGGAGGAAGACGTGTGTAACAGAGTGATTAAATCAGTTCAAAAACTGAACACTATGGACACATTATGTCAGTTTGTTGGTCAATGATAAATTACTGAATGAGAAGAGAAGGTGACAAGCTACAGAGGACGAGTGAAAGATGGTGAAGCCAAAAAAAATTGGGATTGATTGTTGGGTGTGGATTAACTAAACACCTCTCTCCCTTTGCGTCCATGTGAGTGGGTCTACACTTTATCTGCTGAGTCTCCTTCATATAATAATGAGTTTCCTTGGTCTGCAGACATGCTCTTAAATATTCATTAGTCATGGGTGGGTTTTAGCCGTGACACAGAAAGCGGGCAAATGGCGATGGCTCAAACACTGTGAATATTAATGTACATGTGGAATATATACATATAAATACTCATTAGTGACTTAACTGAGATGAAACTGGGCACCTGATACTCTGGACTACAAACACTCCCAAGGCACATAATGGCTGTTGCTCTTTCAGCAGCTACTGTACACCTCTGTGCTGAAAAAAAAATTGAGATTTTGACATCAAGCCTGGTAACAGCTCACTTACACACAAGACAAGTACCCTCCAATTCATCAAACAATATGTCCAAAAATACAGGTGTTAAGTTAGTGTAGAGTTTCTTTTCAGAGGAAGCGAATTCAATCCAGTTCACACTCTGTGACAATTTAATTTTTACTTTACTCACCCACATGTATGCCTGTCAATCAACATGCTGCAATTCACAGGACAGCTTTATAATTATGTCCTGCTGAAATCTTACATCAAAGTGAAATGTTGCATTTCTGCTACACAGGGCTGCACGCTCAGCTCTGTGTTCTCCAAGTGTGTCCATTCAGAAAACAAATGATCCAGTGCAGCCATCAATTACATAACCAAGCCTATAGCACTGCAACCCATTTACGTTGTGGAAACATATTCTGAATGAAAGCGGGGAGAGGAAGTGATCGTAACAAAAGTGAAAAGGGATGAACGCACAATCATGTGGTAAAAAACCTGCACACACACAGAAGCACAAACACACACACACACACACACACACACACACACACACACACACACACACACAGGTGCATATCCACAGACCGTGTCTGCGCTGGAAGGAGCTGGACGCAGCGCTCATGCAGCCTCCCCTCTGTCAAACCCGGGACCGGCTTTCTTGGTTGTGGCTACTTGCGTCTTCTCACGGAAACAGCTCCACTCACCACACCAGGACCAACCTCTGGCATGACTAACGTGTTGACGCAAAGCTTTATACCTGCGCACAACTTCTGGGTTATAAGCGAGCCTGTTCCTATCAATCAGACACAGAACGTGTTGTGGTCATTGTAGAAACTATCAGTGGCGCTTATAATAGACACAAGAACATGCTGCATTACTCTCTTTATCTGACAAAGCCAAGCGCTTTGGGACATCTGTTTGCCACACACACACACACACACACACACACACACACACACACACCACACCACACACACACACACACACACACACACATGCACGCACGCTCTGTCTCTGCCCCTTTCTAAGTCTCTCTCTCTCTCTCTTACACACACACACGCGCGCACGCGCGCGCACGGATAGACAGAGCCCTAAAGAATAAGACTGACATGTTGCTCCGGCTCAACTCCCCATGGCCCTTTCAGTGATTTTTTTGGGAGTCATTGCTCTATTTATTTTTTTACTGCGCCAACAATGAGCATGCACGCATGTCTTAACTTTATTCAGTAAGTGAAGTACCTCTATAATGCGATCTAATAAGCAACAGCAAAGGAATCACGAGTTGCCCATGAATATTTTGCAACAAAATATCTTAAAAGGCACGCAGGAAGCGTCTAATGCAACTTTAATCACACCAGAACATGGCCTCATATCTAGGCCACCCTTTGCCAAAAACATCCTCACGTCGTAAACATTTTCACATACTGTAGGCTATGAATAAAAAGCGGATTTGCGACAGTTAAAGTGATCCTTCATTTTCGGGGGGGAAACATGGCACCAAAATCCAGACCAGAGTCCCACTGGATCTAGTTCTGATTTATCTCAGAAACTGAACCTGCAGTATTGTTTTACCTTCAGACACAATATTAGCCAGCAATTCCTCCGCCTGCCGAACATATCTTAATGTAACCCCATCTCAGAAATGCCATGCCGTATTGATATTAATTCATAAAAAAAAAATGTAGGCTAGACATCTGTCTGAGTATAAGCGGCTGTATGAGCCGCTGCTATAATGATATATTTCAGACATCGGGACCATCTTTCCGGCAAGTTCAACAAAGCGAAATGTATTGAAATAGCTAGAGAGAGTGGGTTATAGCGGTTAATTGTGATAAGGAAACGCGTTTCCTCTGATTCAAATAACTGACCTAAAAGCCAAATGCGCACGTCGGCTGCCACAGTTGTTCCGGGCTTCATAGTGTGTAAAATGTGAGCAAGCAGCCTGCAAGCATCGCTGAGGCTTTCACTGATTCAGAGAAACAGACCCGGGAACACAGTTGGACCAGAGTATTGTTCTCAAGTGTGTCTCCTGCCCGGCTCACGGACAAATCCGAAAGTAAAGGGCTAAAGGTAAAGGGGCATGTTGAGAATAATGGCAGATGGGAAACTTGCGTCATGCCAGGGCAGCGCGTTTTTGTAGTCGAATATAAATGGACAACAAAACCCCTGGCAGCCAAAAGTGAGCCCCTCTAACATGAGCGTTTCATTTCATTTCGTACACCGGCGTCACATTTACTGAATGTCTGAGATCCTCTGAAGAATAAAGTTTCCGATTATGTAGAGCTTCGTATTTGGTTGGTAAAGCCAGCCACAACTACATGGAAGTCAGTGGTATTTCATGCAATTCAGCCTGAAGTCAGCGAGCACGTTTTAATCTCCTACATAGGAAATTCCTCTTATTTCGCCCCTTTAATAATAGCATTATAGATATTGTGAAGACCCATCCCTTTTCCTACTTTTCTCAATTTCTTACCTGCACTTCGAAGCACGTTCAAAAAGTGGCGACAGCGTTTCCACGGCTCCCCTTGTTTTCCCCCGACGAAGCGCGTATAGTTTTTTTTAATATGTTCCTTTACTTTGTTTCATTTCTCACTTCCATCTTCTTTTCATCTCATCAATAAACACACGCTGCAGCCTACCTTCATAGAGCAGCTCGGTTCAAGTGTGCCCTCCCATTTTTTAACTATACATCGAGTACTTTGAGGGGTGGTGGTGGTGGTGGTGGTGGTGGTGGAGGGGTGGGGGTGGGGGGGCAGGCAGGCACGCCTTTTCACTTAAAGCTGCTATTGGAAGAACAGTGCGCTGTCTTGGGTTGGATCAGAAATCCGTCAACATTACTGTGACCCAATCGCAGGGAGCACAATAGGACGGAAAGACCTGCTCCATTATGGCTCTCTGGAAGTGGTGGGAGTTATAGTAATAGTAGTTGTAGTAGTAGTGTTCCTCCTACTCGAGCTGTTTAAGTTTCCTCCTGCCTGAGCAGCAACACAGCAATTTTATAAATAGAAGTCATGGTGCGCAATGAAACCTGTAAAGGATAGGGGGGTTAAAACAGGTTCGCTGTGATGTTGCACCCCAGCGAGAACACTCACTGTACCCATAAATCCCACCTTTTTTTAAATTTAATCTACATGTTTCTCTTGTTGTGCAGGCTCAAGCGCCAACTGTTCAAAATATCAGCGCACACAAATGTGAATGAACTCTCAAATCTATCCCGTCTGGATCAAAAGGACGGGGGAAATGTCAGTTATGTGTCCATCATGTGTCTGAACTTTGCATTGGACGCCGCCTCTGCCAGTACAGTGAGCCAGCTGCGCCGCGGTCTCTCATTGGACCCCGGCGCCGTCAATCATCTCCGGCACCAACAAGCTAGATTGTCTGCCGTGTCTTCTACTTTCTACGCATTTCTATTTTCTCATTTATTTATTTTTTAACGTCCCGAGCTGACCTCGAGTTAGCGAGCGGGGAAAAAAATTGGTGTCGGTTCAGCTGGCCAATCATATTAGGTAAAGCGATTTCTGTTTTCTCTTGTTGTTGTTGATTTATTTTTTTATTTTTTATTTTTGAATTTTTTTGTCATTATCGAGCGCCTTGAGATATATTCTGGCTGGCATAGAATAAAGCAGTAATGGGTCATGTGGGATCCCCCCGCACCCACCGCCTTAATGCCCCCTCCCTGTCTAGACAGTGACAGGTGTGCGTGTGTGCGCACACGCGTGTCTGAAGTTCAGATCAGAATAATGAACCACGCGGAGGGTAGTGTCTAACAGATACTTTCAATAAAATATTCATGTGTGTGATTCGTGTGTGGTGTGCAGGGCAGAGGATGTTCAGTGTAAGCAGCCCTGCATCTTGAAAGACTGACAAAGAGGTCAAGTAAGGTTACGCTCGATCAGCTCGTCTGATAAAGCGTCCAGCCTCCTGGGCTGATGCACATAAACGGCGAGAAAAAACTACTTTGAAAAGCTGCACTCTTGAACTTTGCTCTCGCAGCCCTCCAGCTGTACAGGGGAGACAGAGGTGTAGCTTTAGACAACCGCCATCTCTCAAGCTGGGTAGGCTCCATACGGATATTGTGTGAGCACCGTGGTGAGCACCCAGGGCACTCAGTTGACTGTGCGCGCCATCTGCAGGACTGTGATGTGGATTAATACGGCGGGTTCAACGGAGGACACCCTTCCGTCACTGCTTTGACCTACATTAACCAGGAACACCGTAGGAACACCACCGCCGGCCTTAATGCGCTGGTTTGCAATCCGGCAGTGAAGCACGTTTTAAAAATGCTTTTAATATTCTTTAAAAGTCAGAATTTTGTCATATTAGGACTATAAAGTGAACGTCCTGCAGATCCGTGTGGTGCACGCCTTCCCGGGACACTTTGTTTTCCATACTTCTCTTGCTTAACACGGCTCAACCGGTAACACGTGCAGGGAGGATTCAGTAGGGATAATATTTTGTTTTAGTGGTGCCACTGAGTGCTGTGCATGTTGAACTGGGCTTACCTTTATCACAGGGTATTGCAGCAACCATGAGAATACTTCTAATCAAAAATATGCTTAGCTTATTTATGTTTTTTAGCAGATAGAAAGGCATAAGTAAGGATAGACTAATGGCATCCATTTATTTGTAAAACGTGTTACTGCATGTGCTTTTATTTTAAAATTGTAGTTAAATGAAAAATTAATATAAAATTCAAATTACAATTACACACCCATCTTTCATAAGTGTATAATATTAATAATAAATTACAAAAAAAATGCAATAACACAAAAATAAAGATATGCTCTAAAAATAAAGTGAGTAAATATATAATTGTACGGCTGAATTCTTTGATGGAGATGATGAAGACAATGTTTCTCTGATGAATAAGAGTCAATCAGACATGAGAGAGGACAGTTCTCAGCTGAGACACTTTATTTGCAGCGCTGGGTCAATGTTTCTCTACCATGCATTCAGAATATATTGACAATGAACAAAGACAGTACAAAGCTTAAATACTACTACAAGTGAGGATAGAGTCACTAGGTGTTTACCATTCAATACAGTAGAAGAACATCTGGAAGACATTAAGCTTCTCACGCAAAGGAGTACATGATATTCATTTGACATATGGACCCAAACTTGATGGCACCTCAACTATAATAAACCATAGGCATGTTCATAATATATATATATATATATACAGTATATATAGCTCTACACACACATACACACACACACGTATGTATGTATGTATGTATGTATGTATAATATATGTATATATACATACACACATATATGTATACATATAGGATATATATACATACACACACACAGATAGATAGATAGATAGATAGATAGATAGATAGATAGATAGATAGATAGATAGATATGTATATCGACATGTTTGTGTGTGTAGAGCTCCCATTGGTCTTGATGAAGTGATGAAACCCTCATTAATTTTCCCACTGATAAATACAAAAGTAAAAATTCATACAATGAAAAGGGTGCNAGATAGATAGATAGATAGATAGATAGATAGATAGATAGATAGATAGATAGATAGATAGATATGTATATCGACATGTTTGTGTGTGTAGAGCTCCCATTGGTCTTGATGAAGTGATGAAACCCTCATTAATTTTCCCACTGATAAATACAAAAGTAAAAATTCATACAATGAAAAGGGTGCATCGTTTAGAAAAATTTACACATATTTGAAAATTAAATTCTAATTTGATTAATTCTCAACTTGACCTTGTGTAACATATGACATTGCAATCAGTTAGGAAAGACTCTAATGATTAACTCTGATTAGTATTTTACATGAAAACTGAATTGTTGCCACAATTAAAATGTTCTCTGTGGGAAAACAGGAACATGCTGTAATTTCACATTGTCAGGTCACGTTTTGTCTCATCCAGCTTTAATGTAACCTACAGAGGGCAGTATTATGACTTTATGAACATTTATTAATTTGTTTTTTCATTCATTCATTTATTCTGCTTCTACCCCCCCCCCCTTTCCCAATTGGAAATAAATCATTACAGCTTCTGTATTAGCTACAATGTTCCTGGAGAGGTCTACACTTAGGCCCTGTCCTTGTGTCTCTAGTTGCGTTTTAATATATTCCACAAAATGAATGACCCACAGGCCATTCCTTTCACAGGTAGTCCATCCAACTCATTATACAGTAGGATGGATGACAACTGACAATGTGCAAACTGGTTTAGGGCAGGTGGAATTAGTTTTCATTCAATTTGCAGTGCAATTAAAATGTTATTTCTGTTCAAAAATGTTCCTTCATAAGCCTGGCTCTGTTTTGAGCCCATGTGGTAGAAACCTGTTAATGTGTGCAAAGGAGCATACAAGCTTTTTCAGGATTGCTCCATTTGTTCTTTTTCATAGTTACTCATGTCCTCAAGTTGTTGTACACTGATGTTTGGGTACAGGTTTAATTCCTCAAGCCTATAGATATTTGCAAGCACTAACACCTGAGGTATTGGGGAATAATAACACAAAATTAAAATTACATATATTACATAACACATCAGACTGCTGAAAATACCACAACCTTACATGTATGTACACTAGTTCACTCAGGTAAGTCATGACCTTACAAATCTTAGACAAGACTTTAGTATTCCACATATGTGTTGCTGTGCGGTGTGACCCTCAAACATTCTTTGGCTAAATAGGTCTCCATGCTTGTTAAACCAGTCAGAAAGGTCATATTACTCTCACCACTCTCTCCAACGTCATTTCACCACAGAATGTAATTGTTCTGTATCTCAAGGTCACTTCAGGACAGTTTTGTTTTCGTTTTACTTTATAAAGCTACTTGTAAACCAAGATTGAGCCACGACCCATCTGTGAATTCCACTGTACCATCCATGCATGAATGAAGTGAGACACGCCTAGATACTCACTTGGTGTTTGTCACTTAAGTGGTATGATGAGTCGAAATGATTTGCATGTGCATGCATCTTATTACATTGTTTATTGTTAATTGTCATTGTTGCAATCCAACGAAAGCTTACTTCCTTTTCAAACCCTCAATAATTATCTACATAGTGTACCAGAGTCTATCTTAAGGAAACATTACACATGTTGTGAGCGAGCCAGCTGCTACAACACTGCCATCTTTCTACTTCCTCATACCTCACATATTCACATTCACATTTTCAGCTATAAAGAAACAACAGCAGAGACAACATCTTTGTCTTGTCCCTTGTAATGTTTTCATGTATTTGAAAGATAAAATGAATGGCCATTAAATTCAAAATTGCTAACAAGCTACCCCAAGCTTGCAACATTTTGTAATGCACACTAAGTTTGCAATGCAGAGAGCCACTTGCCTCTCATCTTCAAAACTGGCTGCAGGCAGATAGTTGACAAGTACAGACAATAACATTGCTTTGTTAGCTATTCTTCTCTCTTTTTGGTTATTTGGTCTTTGGTCTTAATTTGTCAATTATTGGGCCTAAAATAACTTTTTTTTTGTGGCTGTGCAGTATGTCAGTGACAACATTAGTATTACATGTTTCAATGAAACTCACAAGAAATGATCACAGACAAGCCAGATGTGACAGAAAATAAGACTCTTCACATACTGACAAATGTTTTTTTGTTTT